TAAGATATATATATATATATATATATATATATATATATATATATATATATATATTTAAAAAAAACAAAAAAAGAAAGAGACCAAGGACACTCATATTCAAAGATACCTCCCAGAGAGTTGATGCAACGTACATCTGAAAAGATGCCTTGTGGTGGTCCATAGTCCATACCTTGAGTTCCAGACAACAATGATCATACCCATCAAGCTTTTAAAGAGTTCAAAGAGCAATATATTTGGTTACATTGACAGTTTAAAGGGATTTTACATGTAGAAAGCCCATCATGGTCATGAGTTAGCTCCAATACACACACACAAACACATATATATATGCATGTTGACATGTGTTTGGATGAGTTCCATTTGGTCTCATCTTAATTTCAAATGTGAAAATGGTGGGCTCTCATGTTCTCATCTCCACTTGTATTGCTTTTCTTCCATCCACATTCTTCCCTACTGTTCTCATCTGCTAAAAATATCTATATCTAACCCCAGACATTAAATTGCCCAACTTGCAGCATTCAAGTGACCTGAATTAGTAGTCACATGAGAGGTAAAGGCCAACAAGAATGTCTCAAAAATTAATAAATCCTTTCCCATTTCGATCATATTCAAATTTTTGGGCTCAATTTCTCTGCAGCTTAACCACAAAAAATTAAATTAATCACCAATGAGAATGCACCGCATTCATTATAATAATTCATGATCTTAAGCTTCATTTGTCCATGGGCATGGGCTTCAACTTACTCTATCTCCATGGATGATGATGCAATTTGATGTTAGAAGAGGATTCTGAAATAATCTCTATATGGAGGTAAGACTGCATACGTTTGACCTTTTTCAGATCTTAGCCCTTTTCTTCGACCTATAAATTCATAAATAAACAATTATCACTAAGGGGAAAAAAAAAATACCTATGATATTTCACTTGGTTAATTAGCAAACTAATACTACTAAGGTCTTTATTTCATTGCCAATTTTTTATCTGGAGCAGATTTAATCTCAATAAATGTGAATCCAAAATTGTGCAACTAATCATTGGATGAATTTAAACACCATATAATTAATTAACAAATATATATGACATGGAAGGCTCATTAAATAAAGAATCAAAACTTATGAATAATTAAGATGAAGTGAGATATATATATATATATATATTAGTACCACATGGGAAGGAGGAGAGTGGTATATAGGAAGGGGACGTGAAAACTCAACATCTAACCCATTTCGTCCACACATGGGGAACACATGTTGCAGGAGAAGAAAGGTAGTCTTAAGAGCGAAGTGGAGGTCCCAAGAAAGGAGTTCCTCAGAGGCAACGTCACAATCAAGCCATCTAATGAGAAAGAGAGATGAGGAACAACGAGACAGTGACCCTTCTGTCCCTAACACAGAACACATCAAACCAACAAGGCTGAGAGTGAGTGAGAGAGAGAGAGAGAGTCCATATATGCATTGCTGAGGCAAGCTTAACCTCATTATTTTTCTACCTAAAATGAATTAGGGTTTCTCAGCATGTGACCTTACTTCTTTTCTCCACAAGAAATTCGGATACTCGTTTATTTTATTTTAGCATATTCAATTATCCTTACGGAAACTTGAATCCCGTCTCAAATCCATTTTGAGAATTATTAGAGAAGATATCAATAGAATATTATAACTCTAGGTGTGGATTGAATTATTTAACAAAAATAGTTATTTGGTGTAAAATGAGCTAGAATTAATTCACAGGGTATAAGCAAAGCAAAGCAGAATTAGGAAAAGGTGCATGCATGTGTATGTATGTGTAAGTGATGAAAAGTAGCTAGCATGCATAGGATGTTGCCAAAACATAGTGCAACAATGGCAAAATGTTCACATCAGACTGTTTTCTACTTTAAGAGGGGGCACAAGTGGTGAGAAGTTGAATTGAAACCCCCCTTTTGTGGTCCCTCACAACCTCTCTGTGACTGTGACTTTAATGGCAGAGAAGGGTTTGCATGAATGAAGAGCTATTGTCGTTAGGGTTAGGAGAGATATGTGACTATTAACTTTTAAAGGGGAGCATGTTGGGTGGGTCCCATTTAAGAGATTTGTGCAATCCATCAATAAGGGTGGTACTTCCCATTAAAACAAAAAAAACTGAATAGCTCCTCTCTCTATTATAATAACAAGCCCAGAGAGAGAGAGAGAGAGAGAGAGAGTTGTCTAGAGAGAGAAACGGTTGTCTTGGAAGGGCAAAGAAAGGTAGAATTATAAAGATATGAGCAGTTGGCTGCAAAACGGGTGGTCAAGCATGCACCAAAAAAGCAGACTGTTTCGCACAGAGACTCAAAATATACACATCATTAAATTACTATTTCAGATAATACACACGCAAATCCACAGATGCTCAGAACACTCAAAACCCTTTATAACTAACATTAATCAGTCAAGCCCAGAACACACACATACACACAAACGGACAAAGATAAAAACCCAATTGGAAAGGAAAAGTTCCCAAACAAAAACGGTAAAAAAAAAGGTTGGTTGAGAGTAGTCCTTGAAACAAGTGAAAGAAGAAAAGGGGAAGTCCACATTTGTGAATATGACAAAATACACATACTTACATATATATATATATATATATATATATATATATATATTTTCAATAATTAGATTACCTAACTTCGCAGTTTAGAGGGTACCCACAGTATAAGAATAGAGGACTCGATCTCAACCCTCAGATTTGGTCACTGGATCCAAGGGTCAAGAATTCATAGTTATGTAGAATTTCTGTAAATTGATTTTGATGGTCATAGTATTTCTTAACCATATTGTGGTGGACCAATTTTCGATCCTCTCCCAATTTAAATTGAATATGTAATCAGATCTATCTTTAATTAATATTCTTTGCATGTAATTTAAGCCATCAGTTGTAGTCATCACTACATTTTTTTCCCCCTAAATTAATTCAATAAACAAATAAACCCAACATTTTAAGAAAACTTTATTTGCAGCCAATCAATTGTCATTATCTTCATTGTTCTATTACAAGGAGGCATTGCTGCATTGGAAAACTACTACTATTACCATCGTTCTTCTAATTATTTATTTATTTATTATTATTTTTTTAATAATTGGTAAGTACAATCTTCTAAACTTTACTATAATTTGTAGTAACTTACTAACTTGTGACTTGACAGTCACATATGCTCCAACTTTGATGCTTCATGTAGGCATGAAGTATTGCATGGGTTGGCCAATGCACATCAATTGCCAGATAAAGCTGCATCACATGATTCTCCATCAATATAAACTTCTAAAATCAATATATATACAAGGATAATCTATGCGTATTACCAAAATTTTAAAAATATATAGTATTTATTAACTAAGAGAAATTTAATGAAAAGTAAAAGGAGAGTAGGACCTACGTACATGATACATGTAACTACAACTAAACAAACAAACAAACAAGAGCATTGTAGAGAGAGAGAGAGAGAGAGAGAGAGAGACAGAAGTGTAATTTGTTACCCAGAGGAGAGGAGAGGAGAGGAGAGGAGAGGAGGGAGGGAGGCAGGGATAGGGATGATTATTCTCATCCACATTCTTGAAAAATGGTTAAATATTTAGAGGACCACTTCACACCAAAATCTGCAATAGATCTAAAAACAGCAAGCAGCTATAAAGAACCAACACCAACTACTGGTACCTGCTCAGAGTGAGAGAGAGAGATATATATCTCACCCCCACAACCAAATTCAACTTACTTCTTCACACAAATGCAATTATGCATAGACCAAAAATATTCAAGCATATAATGTACATATAATATTCACCAATGGCACAGCCATGCACTATTGGGAGGTGGACATGATAAATTATGGTCATTTTTTAGTGAATTCCCATGTATTTAGATTGGAAATACACATAAAAATTATAGAAGTACCAAATTTAATCCTTCCATATCTCTGTTTTAAAGAGGATTGGATCTCTACTGTCGTGAGACTCTTCTAGAAGGATTAAATTTGGTGCTTCTATAAAATAAAAAAATAAAAAAATAAAAATGAAGAAGATTCTAGAACCTTAAATTAAGTGTATGGGAAAAATTAGCTAACAATTTATTTGATTTGTACCTAAATCAATCAAATGTACATCATAATTTGTAAAGCACTTAATCAACTTTAAGCATTGGTTGCCCTTGGTTTGTATTTTTGTGAATAATATTTTGAGTCTATGTGTGTGTATATATATAAATGTTCACTACTTCCTGCTATGCACGAAAATGTATTCACACCTCAAATATTAACTATTAGTTAAACAAGTAGTTTATATTTTGATATCCAACGATTAAATCCCTTTGCACACCCTTGAAAGCCAATTAATAAGAGAGATATAAGGTTAATTACTATTATTAATTTGTTTAATTTTTTTTTCTTTTAGCTTCCATTTCTTTTAAAATAATTAAATAGTTAAAACTCCTATTTAGAAAGGAAAGAAAAGAAAAGAAAGAAATCTTATCACAAGATTTTGTCTTCTATATTCTAGAATTTATCATCAAAAAACATATCCTTTTCATATATGAAATGAAATCTTTAAGTTAGGTTTTAGAATTTCCACATTTGGATTTTAATTTTAAATGCTAAAGCAAACAGAAATCCATTACATCCATAAAGTCACGCCCCCTAACTGATCTGAAATCTTTGAAGACGTCTTATTAATACACTTTAAAGTCTGTGTGGTACGTTTTGAAGATGGAATTCATTTGAGTTCTTTCGTTATGTATATACAGAGAGCCATCTGCTTGCTTTACTTGTTTAAATGAATTAATAGAAGATGTTGTCTATTTAATACTTAACCATCAAACTTCACCTTATCTCGAGCAAGAAATGATTATACCAATAGTACCGAGCAATAATTGTACTAATTAAAAAATTAATAACAACAAAAAGATGCGACTATATTAATAGTTATATGTAATTCTCTCACCCTAACAAAAGAGGGTCATCGATGTTGTTACAAAATTATCAAGATGCTAAGAGACCTAAAACTTTCCAAAAATAAAACAAAAATTAGAGAAGGGAAGCACAGTGTGGTGCTTAAGAAGCCAAAAGGCAGAAAAGCCACTCTCATACATGACGCACTCCAAAATTTGTGGTTTGGATCAGACAACCCTCTTTATAGGTCCAAACAAACACACCCTCTCTCACCTTCCCACATAGAACCCACATCGATCCCCCTTTCATATTCTGCTCCCTCCTCCTCCTCCTCCTCCTCCTCCTCTTCCCCACCCCTCTAAGGTGGTAGTACACTGCACCCACCTTCATCTCCTCCCATTTCTACTAACCTACACCTGATCAAAACAACCCCCAACTTCTCATGGAGAAGACTGAGAGGGAGACTCATGACTTCATGAATGTTGAATCCTTCTCCCAATTGCCCTTTATCCGTCCGGCTCCGGTGAAAGAAAAGGGCATTAGGCTCTTTGGGATAGAATTTGGCTCCGGTGACGCTGCTGCAGTCACCGATGAGTCTGAGTCAGTAGAGACTAATGCATGTGACGAAGTTAAGGACACTGATAATGGAGAGAGCAGCCGAAAATTCGAATGCCACTACTGTTGCAGAAACTTTCCTACCTCTCAAGCTCTAGGAGGCCACCAAAACGCGCACAAAAGGGAGCGCCAGCACGCTAAACGCGCCCACCTTCAGTCTGCCATGGTGCACGGTGGCCTCTCAGACGCTCACGTCTATGGCCTCATGAATTATCATCGCCTTGGTTCTGCACCGACACCGGCCATGACTTACCACTCGTTGAACAACAGCAACAGTACTTTTGCTACTAACACTAGGCTCTATGGGAACCATGGCTCATACTCTCATCATCAACCTATTAATGGGAGTCCCTTGGCCTTATGGCGAATCCCATCCGTCCAAAATTCTCCTAGTTTTAGCCGTGACCATTCAATGCCTCCGTTGCCATTGTTTGCTAATGGTGACTTGAAGCCATCGCCAATGATCGGAAGCTCAAGTTCTCAGAGTCAGTATGTGTATGAATCAAGGCCGAACGTGCAAGATCATGTGAGTTTGGATCTTCATCTGTAAGAATATAATATAATAATTTCTTAAGATCGAAAAGAAAAGCATTATATTCTCTGGGTAGAGCCCATCTTTTGTTCTGAAAAAAACATAGAGCACAATCATCACTCTTTCTTAGTATAACATCAATTAATGTAAACGAAATGATTTTAGGACTCAATGACTTTGGTTTGTGCCAGATTAACCTGATGATTTGATATATGAGAACAAGTCTCTTTACACTCTTAATTGTAGTTTAGAATTGCTATTCATTGTTAATTTAGTTATTACTGTTGTTTCGTACAGCACTTGCAATCTCATATGAGTGCTGCAGTCTACCAATCCATCTTTTCCATCTTAATTGTATACACGTGTTTCGAATTATTCAAAGACCATAAATCAGTGTGAACTCCAAAGGGTACGTATGTGTATACACGGTTTGAGACATACATGTGGTTATGGAATGTGTTTGTTGTGTAGATGTGAGGACAGTGATTTTTTATTCACTCACAAAATTAAGGTGATAAGTTTTTGACAGTCTGCTTGTAATGCAGAAAGAACCTGATATTTCCATTCAAGTAGCAGATAGAACAGTTTGCCTAAATTTAATGAACATTCTCCAATTTACTTTTCTTATTGACACACACACACACATATATATGTATATGTGGAGAGAGAGAGAGAGAGTGATTGATTTAATCATGTTTGTATGTCAATCAAACTTTAAATGATGTGTAGCATCTACTTAAGATTTGATTTGGAATCTTTTGTCAATGAGTCATGAAGGCTGAGGCTGATAAACAAAGGTGGCAGATTTAGGTCCACTAATTATGAGCAACCAATAAGCTAAGATGAATGATCCGAACAAAATCTGCACCATCCAATTTCAATCACGCAGCTCAGATTTTGGGGCCCTTGGTTGATTATCAGAACCTGATCAAGAGAATTATCTGGTGGTTGTGATGTTTGACACATTAAGAGTTTCGAGAGGTGTAATCAGAATTGTGGCCTTCATAATATAAAGTGACATCAATGGTTTGTTCCTCTGCTGGTGAAGTTCCATGACAAGGAGGATAGGTTGTGTCACTTCTATGCCAAACACATTTCTGACTAGGAAAATGGTGAACTCACGCTCTTATCCATTAGATCTACGGAGTGATTATATCAATATGACTTTTTGTTAATTCGAAAGTCATATTGTTCAAGATTATTTGTGCAGAAGTGTGTGACCAATAAATGAATGAGGACGTGAGTTTACGTGAGAGTGCCCTTAATGTAGACTTATCTTTTGCATTATTAAGAGGGAGGACCTAAGCTTTCATGGCTTTAAAATGGCAAACCAACCCTCAGGAAAAGATGTGTCCTCCTAAGACTTGAAGGAACATGGTAGTCAGACTGCCATCTTTGTTTCCTCGCCTTTTGTACGTTCTCAGCTTTTATCTCTCTCTCTCTTGAGCTAGAGAGAGAAAGAGGTCAGAGGTGGGTGGGTTATTTTAAAGGTGAACTGAGTTAAGAATTTGGAACCTTGGAAATTCTTCTCAAGCTAGAAAGCAAGTACGGGTACATGTGCCTGTCTTTCCCAATCTGTGTGTTGTGGCAGCTCGGTGTCTTAGATGATATTGATAATGGGCATCATTCAGTGAATGCCTTACAAAATACAGGTGACTGACCAAACACTGCTCATTTATACGAGTATTTATACTGCTTCCGCTTGCTAACACACTGTACTTTAACTGCATGCATGTTAGGTTGCTGTATTTTTTTCTACTCTGTTTCTTTGTTAAATGTATAAAGTCCCGAATTTTTTGTTTGTTTCCTATGTTACATGTATGGTTGAAGATGTGAGAATTGGAACTTAACTGGCATGTGTTCATCTCACTCACTGTTTGGAAATTGGAATGAATTATCCCACCAACATAAATAGAGTTCTAATGGCTGGTTTGTAACACCAAATGATGAATCCCATTTAGTAGAGAATTTAATTATCGAAAAAAAAATGATGATGGTAGAAATTAAGTTAAATGAAATTCTAGAGATGTGTAAATACAATGAGTGCCAAGAGAAAAGGATGTTTGGTTTGGAAGGTTGAGGAATCGACTTGTTTTTATAAGTACACTTGATCTATTAAATATGTGTCCATAAAATGTGTTCTACTAAAAAGAACAACTTTTGAAGACATGGCTAAATCTTCAGTAGTCGTATGACTCATATTATGAAAGTGTGAATAGAACATGTTCGATTATGATATCATAGCAACCATTTTGTGCAAAATAACCTAGTTTATCTCCACGGTCTTCCCTTCTAGCGCTCAGTGTATACGAGACCAACACTTGTTGATGACCATTTTTCAGGGTCTTTCCAAGCTAAACACATCAAAGGTTTTGTTAAAGAACGACCCATTTTATTGATCAATTGTCAAGTATAATAGGCCCTAAATTAATAAAAATAAAATTATTGGTATAACAGGCCCTAAGTTAATGAAAAGAAAGTTCAATAATCACAAAATCAAATAAGCAAAGCCATAAATGCACTAACAACATCTTTCTGAATTGTTCACACCATATACACATCCATTTTAGGGTAACGTACATAATTATAACCCTGTTGACAGGCAGCTTCAACGTACAGAGGATAAGGGTCAATTTCCATTGCATACCACACAAATGGTATTATTGACTTATTCCAAATTTTATTCGTATGTGGATATAACCAAGCCTAAGACCCAAAGAGCATCATTCATTAAGAGCTAAACAACACAAATCATCATATGAATCTACTACCATTTATACTAACCCTAGAATACCTTGGTGTAAGGGGTCAATATTTGATGGATTGATAAAAAGTTTATGTTATCGAGTATAAAGACACAATCAAATTACGTAAAAATATAACAAGCGTTAGATTTGTATTCAGTCTACCTCCCCTGGTATCTTAGGAAAATCACACTTAGTAATAGCTCTGAATTTGTTGTAGTTGATGTGATTTGATGGAACTTCCAAAATTAAATAGAATAAGAGCCCACAACATATCAAATGGGAAGGATGAGTAATTTTTGTTTGTTCACAAATTCATTTTCAATTGGATCGGGATAAATTTTTTATATTTTTTTTCAAACCAAAATTGAGGAAGAATAGTTTCTAGCCAAAAGATATAGTGAAATACAAAAATGTCTAGCAATATTTGCAACCTAAATTTTTGTTTTCTTCGATGTAATTTCGTACATGATATAATTTTTAAAAATAGGTTGCTAAATTAGGGGGAAAAAATGGCGGGCAATGTTTTATTGTAGCATCAAAGGGGTAATAACAAGAATAAAGAGTTAGCTGAGTTTTTGGGACAACATTAATGGAAAGTACTTCAAAGACTCTGAATGCTGTTTCTCACATAAATACATGCATGTAGTGTCAGTCTGACTAAGCAACTGAAGACGGTAACTACATTTTCAACACAGTGATTTGGGCACACCCCCAAATGTTTACAGGCAAGCCCATCCATCTTCAACTAACGTGGGCAACTTAGACATTATGAAAATCATCACCCCGAAAATTATTATTTTTCAATGATTGTTGTCCACCTACAAAGTTGCTAGACATATCTAAAAAAAAAGCATTGTCATACTTAATGGATTGAATTATTAAGACAGAGGTCATTCATGTCCTGCTAAATAAATTGACAACTCAAGAAATAAAATATTTGGACGGGAAGTGTCACTCTAAATTAGACATTTTATGTTAGACTCGACTCTTTCAAATTAAATTTATCGCGAAGTTATCCCGACATATGATTAAGACATCACCCATATTGAGAAGGGATTATTAATTTTGGTCCAAGGGTGAGATGTCCATGTCCTTCTTGCCTAATTGAAAATGTAAAAAATAAAAAATAAATAATTGACACCCAAATTACTGTCACAGTGTTAACGTACCCTAACTACATATTGGGCCCACAAATAAATGGTATTATTTAGGTGATGGTGAATCTGGTACACAAAAGATGAAAAAAGGGAAACACAATAAAGACGTATGAGGAGTACACACATTTAGGAGGACCACACCTTAACAAAGACCCAGTGGAATTTAAGAAACCAGCGGCCCACACCCCTATAAAAGCTTGGAAACGAGGTTGACAGTTTGAACAGTGCCCCGTGCTATCATGCGCTCTGGGTGCATGCAAACTCGTTGTACTAGTTCTTCGTACTGCCCTAATCATGTCTCAATGCCGACTAAATGCCACATGTACTGTTTGGCGACTAACCATTTGCATCCCACAAACTTGGGAACTGGGTGATGAGGGAGGGACTTATGCTCCACAAACTTTGTAAAGAAAAATCAAAATCGCAGTATTAATTGAATGCAATTTAGAATTTTAAATTTATTAATTACATGTACTGCGAAAGAGTTATCTACCTAAAAATTTATTAGATAATATCTCACACGAATTTTTGCATAGTTGTTACGTTTTTGTTATAGATCTTCTCACTTCACTTATTTAAAAGTGTATTGAACTTCTATTAACAAAAGGCAATTGTCTTTAGCATTTTACATTTCTATGTTGGAATGATTTAACTAGCTAACCCATCACTGATTCACTACTCCTTTACTAATTATTTTTGAAAAACCATTTCTAAACTTAGTAAAGAAGTAAAAAGAACAACAATATTATTATCCAAATATCTTTCTTTCTAACATTGCCTTTTTCAATTATTCAATCACAAATATCTCTCTTCTTGAAGAGAATATGGTATAACATTGATATTGCATATGGCCATATTAAGTTGCTTTAAATACAATAATGTCATCTCATTGACGACCACAAAATATTATATCCAACTGTTGGTTAGATAAAAACTTAAAGGGTAAAAAGAAGGGAAAAAAAAAAAAAAAACTACGCAAGTGCATTTAACATTCAGCTGTGTCCAAAAAACACTCTTATATTTTTTAAATTGAGCAAATAATGACATTTTGTCAATTTGAAAACTAAAATACCTTAAGACAAAATAGATTTCAATTTTTAAGAATATATTAAGGGTATTTTGGAAGTTTTTATTTTTTAAAAAAATGTAAAAATTGGCAATCAGGGCAGTTTGCACATATTTGGGATAGCAATTGTGTTTTTTAAACTTTAGTTTTTTTTGGCAGTTTTACCCGAACTTAAATTGAAAACGGATGTACAAAATACGATTTGGTCTTTATCACTTCTAATAACATTATTTAATTTGTAATCATGATAAAATGTTTCCAGAAGTTGAA